GTTCAGCTTGAATAGTCCTTCTGAACGACATCATCAGTAAAAAAGTTGGGTTGAAGTGGAGTGTTTGAATTTCTCTATATGTGATTCACAGCTTGCCTGTGCACCGCAATGTTGATCTGTTCTTGTTGACCTTAAATCCATCATTGTTCATTTATTTGTTTTGGTTATATATCCCGTTTTTATTTTTACTCCTATGTTTCTGCATAATTTTCCTGATTGCTTGATAAATTGGATTTATTGCGATGAATATGTATGGATAGAAACACATAAAAATGAATCTCTGTCGAAGTAAGTCACAATGACAAACTTGAAAAATTTTTAATCTAATTCGCCCATACAGTAGACATCAAAATCCCACAAATTGCACTGCTGATACGTGATATCCTAACAAATATTTACCATCGTTTTCATTCGTATCTTCCACCTTGTAATAGAAAGAGGCACCAATACATGAGAATCATCCTTGTTTTAGTATAGAAAACTAGTTGAAATCCTTTTTGCTGAAAGATCTACATTGTAATTAGCATGTAACAGAAATGAAACCATCATTATTGCTACTTAACAACAAATCTAAACTGAATCTCAATTCATACACTTTGATAGAAATGAACAAACTCACCCGAAATTATTCAAGCAAAATAAAACTACACAAATTTATAACGAAATTCACCAATTGACTTGAATCGCATTTATTAACTTATAAGTGTTTATTATTTTCATTGAACTTTGGTTAATCTAACTTTTGTACAAAACAACCGATTGAGTGACTCGGTTAGAAATGAAAATTACTGATATACCTGTTAGTTCATTGTAAACGAACGCGTACTAGCACTTTGAAATGTAAATGATAAATGATCTTATTGATCCGATGAGCTGAATGGCTGAATGAATTATCGACAGAGTATTTACATCAGATGGGACATCATCAAAACACTAACAATGTCCATATATCTATTTTCTTTGATGGTATGATTAGTTTCTGTGGTCGAAATTGACACATCGAGTTCATGATATATACATACATATGTATATGTAATGTGGCTGCTGATGGAAGTATTTGAGGACAGTTAAACACCAGGTTTCATGTAAATACGCACTCTACGGCAAGATGTAATTGTAATGTTGTGGAAAGTGATGCATTCACTTGTGTGTCTACTAGCCTCACAATTGATAACATTGTCAATGGTTTACTCACACACTCACTATTTATCCGTTTGCATGTAGCCTGATCAACTGCATCTAAGAATGCTGTGTCGAAATTGCAAATTCTTCTGCTTCGTACAACTTTACTTATTTGATTGGTTATGTGCGTGTTTCCACAGGTAACAGGATGTCAAACAGCTTACTCTTATCCTGGTTATTGGAAACCGATAAATTAAACTCAGTTCAACTGATAGATCATGAGACATGGTACGCAAGTAGTTAATGTATTATTAGAGATGACTGTGCATTGCGAATTCGTTCGACAGTTTTCACTTATCAACGTAGAAATGAATACCTAAGTGCTCATGTTTCATATAATGACATGATGCAAGTTTAACAGAAATGTATTTGACTTAATATAACCAAAAAGGTCAAAGAATAAACTAAATTAAAAAAGTCAAAATGACATGTCATACAAGAGACGTTGGTGGTTGACCATGTCGAAGGCCTTAGACATATTCAGGTATAGCACTCATACTAGATATCCTTGGCTACGAAGCGAATAGACTAAATAAAAGAAGTCAAAATGACATGTCATACAAGATCGATTTTTAAGCAATCCATGTTGCGAATCATCAATAACTTGTTCAGTCAATAAATAGTTCGATGGTTCGTTACTAATAATTTTTTCCATAATTCCTTGAGATAACTGAAGTAATGTTTATTGGCCGATAGTCGTTCATGTCAGTCTTATCTCCGGATTTGTAACGTGATATGATGTAGGCTGTTTTGCAACGGTCAGGATAAGAGTCTGATTCCATAGAGAGAGTAAACAGCTTAGGAAGATGAAGTGGAAAACTTGGACCATCATATTCGTAGAGAAATGATAAAATCCTGTCTGCTCCTTGACCTTTCGAAACATTGAGGTTATTTATAACCTTATGAATTTTCAGACATGTGAAGGAGATAAATTTAATTGAGTTACCAGTCATTCATATAACTCTAGAAACAGAGCCATTTATGGATTCTTTGCCATATGCAAAATTACCACTGAAAAGGTCTGCTATAGTTTTCGGGTAATACATAAAACTATAATTATATAGGATGCATGTTATAACAACATCTTGCGTTGATTTAGCACGTTCAATGTAATTGTTTATCAGGTTTTGCACTTTTGAGCTAGTACGTAGTGCTAATAGTTCTTCATTGATGCCTTTTAACCTATGTTTCTCCCTAATTTGGTTAAAAATTATTGTTATTTGTGTGACTGCCGTGAAGTCGTCTCTATAATTGCAGGTTCTTTGAATTTTTCGATTTTACGAGTGATGGATGGGGAGAGCACAAGCTACTATCCTATGATCACTGCTTTCAAACTCGTTGTATACTTGTACAGATAGAAGAATGATATCTCTACTAAATATTAGATCAAATGTTTTATCACCCCTTGTTGGAGTACGAAACCACTGTGACCAGCAGTACAGATAATGGATTGATAAAAATTCATCATTGCTGAACTGACAACTACCGGTACTCCAGTTAATGCCAGGATAATTGAAATCGCTAGTGATAATCTTAGCACTGAAGTTCAGAGTAGATGCGTGTATAAATGTATTGATAATAAGATCATTCAAATTATCAGTACTATCAGGAGATCTATATATACAACCTAGGAGTAGACTATGGTTTAGGGTATTGATTGATATCCAGATTGATTCTGGTAAATTATTCGAGATACATTCTTCAACTTTATTGGTTGTTAAGGTATCCAATGCATATATATATAGGGGAAACCATGCGGCACGTTGGTTCACTGCCGTCTGTCTAATAGTAAGCCTGCTTACATGATGTTTGTTGTGGCCATCTCGTGTAACGTTTTAACGAAATGTGTCCTTATAACCTTCCTTACGATGAGTAGGGTTAAGCACGGTTTCAGAAATTATACTTTTGTTTGGTAAAGCAGTTGAAATAAATTTGGTATTCGGTCTAGAACCAGAAAGTCTTTTATTTACTTTCTTCTTAATTGGTATATGCTTTTTAGATTTATTAGTGTTTTTATGAGCCTTCACAATAGAATCAGGTGTTCGATCCTTGACTTCCGATATTACACTGGAAAGAATGACATTAGAGTCTACATCAGATATGTCCTGGTTATCTAGGGCCACTAGGGGTATGAGAGGCAAACTTACACACCGCATTGGTATATCAGTACACTGACTAACATGAGATAAATTAGCTCCACCATTTAGTTCAGCTGCTGGCGCTATCACATTTGTTGTGACCTCAACAATGCTATTTTCGTTCATGGTACGCTTTTGCGTTAGTCTTTCATTGGTGGTTTTGTCTGAAACTATACTAGCGTTTTTAAACTTCGTATGCGCACAGACTAGCTGTTTAGATTCTATCAAACGTTCCGCTGATAAATGGCAATCGAATGTAAACAGGATAGGGCACGAGTATTTTTGATTCCTTTTGTTAAGTCAGATAAATTGGCATGGACCGTCCTGGAATTTAGCCGCCTTTAGTATCGAGTTTCTTATAGTTTTAATGGCAACTTTGTCCACTATATTGTATATAATCACATAATTTCGAGAAATTATTCGCTTACTGACTTCACAAGCTATCAAGTCAATAACGGATTCTACTCTGATCCTGTCTTCGAGTTCTTCATCCTTTGAAAACAGCAGCCTAATGGGTGATAGTGTCTTTAGTTCTAGTTGAAGAGATCATAATGCTTTAGTAAAGAGCCCGCAAATGACCCCACTTTACAACGCATATCACTTATTTGCTTTTAGACAGAGGCTTATCCGCTATTAATATGATCAATACCTTCAGTTCGTGAGTTAGAACTCAATATTAAATTTGACATAGAGTCATCCAGCAGCATGTATGGAATAAGTGTACTTTGACTATTACTTGGTGCAACAGGAGTTGCAGAGCATGGGGTATACGTAAGACCAGAGTTGTTAATATCTGAAAAAATAAGGCTTTTCCGTGCTCGTTTTCATGGATTACATAGAACATCAAATATTCATTCACATACTTAAATCTTTCCGTTTTCATTGTTTTTAACAAGTCGATGAAACTTGATCACATTAGATTCACGTTGTTTGCTCACTGCATACGTCGTTTTAAAGTCAATGAAATCAATACACTTACATCAGTGAAGATAATAGAGATTGACCATTGTATTCATTTCAGTAAATAATAATCAATGGAAATATCTTGTGGCGTACATTAAGTCGTTTCTTTCACTGTGACATATTTGCAGTTAAACAATGAACGTCTACCAATGTATTATGATGACAAATGCAATACATTCGTAAATCCATAAGAAAAGTAAGTATGATATAGAGCAGTCTCCTTGTTTGTTGAGCTCATTCAGATAGTAAGCTGTGAACAGACTCACCTGTAATTGTCAAAACATAGATGGATACTTCAATGTAAATGCATCCATATCAACATATATATCAGTGAAATAATAACCAATTACAAATATGGGTTCATGACTTGGAAATTTTGCAATAGTCATAAATAACAAATGAACGTTAAGTACCTTGTGATTTTGTCTATCGAATATTGACAGATAATCATTTGTATAACAGAACATCTTGAGATGGAGCAGAAGATTTGTAGCTCAGATGGGTGATCTTGATAGACATTTGTTCTCTGAGCTGCCTTATCTAGTCGTGCACCACCTGATCATATCTTCTTTACACGAATGAGGTTTTTTTATTTCAGTGAACGATACTCTGTTGTTGATGGTCTCACACACTTTCACCAAACGTGGATGAAAGTTCAGTTAACACCTCTTATGTGTATCCACGTGTACACAGTTCGGAATTGGAAATATCATGAATGTAATTTTAAAATTATATTTAACTGACGGTTATAACCATGAAGATAATGTTCAGTAGGGATGTGGAATGTAGTTTTCTAACGAGTATTATTATTAATCCAAAGACTACACCGATCAATCTGAAATACAAATTAAAAACATGTACAACATACTAAACTCATAGATACAATAGATCATAGGCAATGTGAATCAAATGTTCCACATGATATGTATGCATGAGATGGTTGAAGTAGATGTTTAACTACTCAGTTCAACATTTTGGAAAGTTTTTAAAGCTTGTAAAAATAATGGATTAGTGGAATATCTAATGATAAATTTCCTTGGACATCTCATAACATTCATTTCAGAATGAACATTTGCTATGATGTGATGTAACACAAAATGACAAAAGTTTGTACTGAGAAAGAAATTAACTACTTTACTATCTTTTTCAAACATGATATTCTTGTCGAACATGGATCACATTTTTTGGCTAAGTGTAATAATCGGTTCATTGAATGTTGCATAATACGAAATAATACACGAAACATTTTTGTTATGATTATCGGTGAATACCTGTATTTTAAACATATATAACTTACGTTAGGATGAGACCAGTGAGAACAAGTCGGCTACTTAATTAACTAGATCTAATGAATATTATTATAATTCCAAGGATTACACCGATCAATCTGAAATAAACAACAAAAACAATTACAACATACTAAACTCATAGATACAATAGATCATAGGCAATGTGAATCAAATGTTCCACATGATATGTATGCATGAGATGGTTGAAGTAGATGTTTAACTACTCAGTTCAACATTTTCCAAAGTTTTCAAAACAAGTTTTCAAAATAATCGATAAGTGGAATATCTAATGATAAATTGCCTTGGACATCTCATAACTATTATTTCTGTATGATCATTTGCTATGATCTGATGTAACCCAAAATGACAATAGTTTGTACTGGGAAAGAAAATAACTACTATACTTACTTTTAACAAATATTACTTACGTTAGGATGAGACCACTGAGAAAAGGTGGGCTAATTAATTGAGTAGATCTCAATCTGTCAAACGCAATAATAGATTTCTTACATGCAATGAGAGTAATTCTGATTGGTTTCGTTTGACACATCGGTGATTGCAAATTTCATCATCGTTTAACTATCTGTAATGAAAATTTGTGGACAACTGACCTTTGAAATTTCACCTTCTACAATTAGTAATTCCAACTTCAACTGAAAAAAGCGGGAAATCACAAAACAGTAAGGATAGAGTATTACCACCTGATCATATCTTCTTTACACGAATGAGGTTTTACATTTCAGTGAACGATACTTTGATGTTGATGGTTTCACACTTATTCTTTCATAGGTTAAGTGGCTTACTATGCTCTGAAGATGAATAACACTCAAACACCATGTTGTGATGCATAAGTTGGTATGTTTGGAGATTCGGTAATGAAGACTATGTAAAATGTAACTTATCGTGACGAAGTTTTTCCTCTGCTCTCTCTCTGTTTCCTCATGTGACATTGATTACCAGGAAAACTATTCATCCGGTTTTTTACCTACCATTGGCATTGTTCGACTTCTACATTGAAGATTTGTTGATTCTGGCATATAATCTATCATACATAACTGTCGTCCATTACTTTTTCCAGTGATCTTCGGATAAAATTTTGTCATTTTGAGGAGAGTGCTGAAGGCAATTTGTGAAGAGCGTAATGAATCTTTTGAAACCATTACGAATATGGTTGTTGATAGACATTCAAACTATATCCTTACATCCATTTCACTCACATCTTTCACATTGACCGTCTTTTAGTACAACGAGGTACCAATACATGAGAATCATTCTTGTGTTTAAAAAGAAAACTAGTTGAAATCGTTTTTGCTGAGCTGCTTTGTTTAGTCGTTCAGCTTGAATAGTCCTTCTGAACGACATCATCAGTAAAAAAGTTGGGTTGAAGTGGAGTGTTTGAATTTCTCTATATGTGATTCACAGCTTGCCTGTGCACCGCAATGTTGATCTGTTCTTGTTGACCTTAAATCCATCATTGTTCATTTATTTGTTTTGGTTATATATCCCGTTTTTATTTTTACTCCTATGTTTCTGCATAATTTTCCTGATTGCTTGATAAATTGGATTTATTGCGATGAATATGTATGGATAGAAACACATAAAAATGAATCTCTGTCGAAGTAAGTCACAATGACAAACTTGAAAAATTTTTAATCTAATTCGCCCATACAGTAGACATCAAAATCCCACAAATTGCACTGCTGATACGTGATATCCTAACAAATATTTACCATCGTTTTCATTCGTATCTTCCACCTTGTAATAGAAAGAGGCACCAATACATGAGAATCATCCTTGTTTTAGTATAGAAAACTAGTTGAAATCCTTTTTGCTGAAAGATCTACATTGTAATTAGCATGTAACAGAAATGAAACCATCATTATTGCTACTTAACAACAAATCTAAACTGAATCTCAATTCATACACTTTGATAGAAATGAACAAACTCACCCGAAATTATTCAAGCAAAATAAAACTACACAAATTTATAACGAAATTCACCAATTGACTTGAATCGCATTTATTAACTTATAAGTGTTTATTATTTTCATTGAACTTTGGTTAATCTAACTTTTGTACAAAACAACCGATTGAGTGACTCGGTTAGAAATGAAAATTACTGATATACCTGTTAGTTCATTGTAAACGAACGCGTACTAGCACTTTGAAATGTAAATGATAAATGATCTTATTGATCCGATGAGCTGAATGGCTGAATGAATTATCGACAGAGTATTTACATCAGATGGGACATCATCAAAACACTAACAATGTCCATATATCTATTTTCTTTGATGGTATGATTAGTTTCTGTGGTCGAAATTGACACATCGAGTTCATGATATATACATACATATGTATATGTAATGTGGCTGCTGATGGAAGTATTTGAGGACAGTTAAACACCAGGTTTCATGTAAATACGCACTCTACGGCAAGATGTAATTGTAATGTTGTGGAAAGTGATGCATTCACTTGTGTGTCTACTAGCCTCACAATTGATAACATTGTCAATGGTTTACTCACACACTCACTATTTATCCGTTTGCATGTAGCCTGATCAACTGCATCTAAGAATGCTGTGTCGAAATTGCAAATTCTTCTGCTTCGTACAACTTTACTTATTTGATTGGTTATGTGCGTGTTTCCACAGGTAACAGGATGTCAAACAGCTTACTCTTATCCTGGTTATTGGAAACCGATAAATTAAACTCAGTTCAACTGATAGATCATGAGACATGGTACGCAAGTAGTTAATGTATTATTAGAGATGACTGTGCATTGCGAATTCGTTCGACAGTTTTCACTTATCAACGTAGAAATGAATACCTAAGTGCTCATGTTTCATATAATGACATGATGCAAGTTTAACAGAAATGTATTTGACTTAATATAACCAAAAAGGTCAAAGAATAAACTAAATTAAAAAAGTCAAAATGACATGTCATACAAGAGACGTTGGTGGTTGACCATGTCGAAGGCCTTAGACATATTCAGGTATAGCACTCATACTAGATATCCTTGGCTACGAAGCGAATAGACTAAATAAAAGAAGTCAAAATGACATGTCATACAAGATCGATTTTTAAGCAATCCATGTTGCGAATCATCAATAACTTGTTCAGTCAATAAATAGTTCGATGGTTCGTTACTAATAATTTTTTCCATAATTCCTTGAGATAACTGAAGTAATATTTATTGGCCGATAGTCGTTAATGTCAGTCTTATCTCCGGATTTGTAACGTGATATGATGTAGGCTGTTTTGCAACGGTCAGGATAAGAGTCTGATTCCATAGAGAGAGTAAACAGCTTAGGAAGATGAAGTGGAAAACTTGGACCATCATATTCGTAGAGAAATGATAAAATCCTGTCTGCTCCTTGACCTTTCGAAACATTGAGGTTATTTATAACCTTATGAATTTTCAGACATGTGAAGGAGATAAATTTAATTGAGTTACCAGTCATTCATATAACTCTAGAAACAGAGCCATTTGTGGATTCTTTGCCATATGCAAAATTACCACTGAAAAGGTCTGCTATAGTTTTCGGGTAATACATAAAACTATAATTATACAGGATGCATGTTATAACAACATTTTGCGTTGATTTAGCAAATTCAATGTAATTGTTTGTCAGGTTTTGCACTTTTGAGCTAGTACGTAGTGCTAATAGTTCTTCATTGATGGCTTTTAACCTATGTTTCTCTCTAATTTGGTTAAAAATTATTTTTATTTGTGTGACTGCCGTGAAGTCGTTAGATTTAAAATAACGTTTCTTTAGGAGGCTTAGTTTAATATGATATTTACTTGGTATGTGTATATCGTAAAGTTTGTAATCCTGTAAGTCTTAATTGGCGCACAGGAGTCTAGACAAGAGTTAACAATGAAATAGAATATGTTGATGGCATCTGTCAGACTATTACATGAGTAGAATTCATCCCAGTCTGACAGTTTGATCAGTGAGCGCAAGAGGTCCCAGTCTGCATGCTTATAGTCTCTATAGTAGCAGGTTGTTTGAATTGATTGGTTATAGAAAAGATGTATGGAGATCAAAAGCTACTATCCTATGATCACTGCTTTCAAACTCGTTGTATACTTGTACAGATAGAAGAATGGTATCTCTACTAAATATTAGATCAAATGTTTTATCACCCCTTGTTGGAGTACGAAACCACTGTGACCAGCAGTACAGATAATGGATTGATAAAAATTCATCATTGCTGAACTGACAACTACCGGTACTCCAGTTAATGCCAGGATAATTGAAATCGCTAGTGATAATCTTAGCACTGAAGTTCAGAGTAGATGCGTGTATAAATGTATTGATAATAAGATCATTCAAATTATCAGTACTATCAGGAGATCTATATATACAACCTAGGAGTAGACTATGGTTTAGGGTATTGATTGATATCCAGATTGATTCTGGTAAATTATTCGAGATACATTCTTCAACTTTATTGGTTGTTAAGGTATCCAATGCATATATATATAGGGGAAACCATGCGGCACGTTGGTTCACTGCCGTCTGTCTAATAGTAAGCCTGCTTACATGATGTTTGTTGTGGCCATCTCGTGTAACGTTTTAACGAAATGTGTCCTTATAACCTTCCTTACGATGAGTAGGGTTAAGCACGGTTTCAGAAATTATACTTTTGTTTGGTAAAGCAGTTGAAATAAATTTGGTATTCGGTCTAGAACCAGAAAGTCTTTTATTTACTTTCTTCTTAATTGGTATATGCTTTTTAGATTTATTAGTGTTTTTATGAGCCTTCACAATAGAATCAGGTGTTCGATCCTTGACTTCCGATATTACACTGGAAAGAATGACATTAGAGTCTACATCAGATATGTCCTGGTTATCTAGGGCCACTAGGGGTATGAGAGGCAAACTTACACACCGCATTGGTATATCAGTACACTGACTAACATGAGATAAATTAGCTCCACCATTTAGTTCAGCTGCTGGCGCTATCACATTTGTTGTGACCTCAACAATGCTATTTTCGTTCATGGTACGCTTTTGCGTTAGTCTTTCATTGGTGGTTTTGTCTGAAACTATACTAGCGTTTTTAAACTTCGTATGCGCACAGACTAGCTGTTTAGATTCTATCAAACGTTCCGCTGATAAATGGCAATCGAATGTAAACAGGATAGGGCACGAGTATTTTTGATTCCTTTTGTTAAGTCAGATAAATTGGCATGGACCGTCCTGGAATTTAGCCGCCTTTAGTATCGAGTTTCTTATAGTTTTAATGGCAACTTTGTCCACTATATTGTATATAATCACATAATTTCGAGAAATTATTCGCTTACTGACTTCACAAGCTATCAAGTCAATAACGGATTCTACTCTGATCCTGTCTTCGAGTTCTTCATCCTTTGAAAACAGCAGCCTAATGGGTGATAGTGTCTTTAGTTCTAGTTGAAGAGATCATAATGCTTTAGTAAAGAGCCCGCAAATGACCCCACTTTACAACGCATATCACTTATTTGCTTTTAGACAGAGGCTTATCCGCTATTAATATGATCAATACCTTCAGTTCGTGAGTTAGAACTCAATATTAAATTTGACATAGAGTCATCCAGCAGCATGTATGGAATAAGTGTACTTTGACTATTACTTGGTGCAACAGGAGTTGCAGAGCATGGGGTATACGTAAGACCAGAGTTGTTAATATCTGAAAAAATAAGGCTTTTCCGTGCTCGTTTTCATGGGTTACATAGAACATCAAATATTCATTCACATACTTAAATCTTTCCGTTTTCATTGTTTTTAACAAGTCGATGAAACTTGATCACATTAGATTCACGTTGTTTGCTCACTGCATACGTCGTTTTAAAGTCAATGAAATCAATACACTTACATCAGTGAAGATAATAGAGATTGACCATTGTATTCATTTCAGTAAATAATAATCAATGGAAATATCTTGTGGCGTACATTAAGTCGTTTCTTTCACTGTGACATATTTGCAGTTAAATAATGAACGTCTAACAATGTTTTAGTGATCATCATCCGATCTTAAACAAATATCACTTGATTAAGTATTCAGAGGGCCCGCTTGTGTGCATTAGGAATGAGCAATTCTAATTCGTCATTTCCTTTAGTTTCTTTTCATCGTCTCGTGTGATACTTACATCAAGAAAGATGCTCATCCGATTTCTATGAAGAGATGCTACATGGTATACGCATTGCTCCAATATTATTTCCAATGATCTTCAGAGAAGATTATGACTTCCTATGTTATTTCCTGAAAGCAGTGAAATGGTGAATTGGTATAAATTTTCATGTCAATACAAACATGGATGCGGATAGGCGTTGCAAATCAAGCAAACTGCATTGTTGAAAATTGATATCCCATTAAAAACTTACGTTCCCACAACATTACACCTACATCTTTCTGAGGAATGCGTATTGGCATGAGAACTAGATTTAAGTATTCTCAAAGACTTTCATCAACAAACACTATACATATACATATGTATGTATATATCGTGAACTCGATGTGTCAATTTCGACCACAAAAACTAATCATACCATCAAAGAAAATAGATATATGGACATTGTTAGAGTTTTGATGATGTCCCATCTGACGTCAATACTCTGTCGATAATTCATTCAGCCATTCAGCTAACCGGATCAATAAGACCATTTATCATTTACATTTCAAAGTGCTAGTACGCATTCGTTTACAATGAACTAACAGGTATATCAGTAATTTTCATTTCTAACCGAGTCACTCAATCGGTTGTTTTGTACAAAAGTTAGATTAACCAAAGTTCAATGAAAATAATAAACACTTATAAGTTAATAAATGCGATTCAAGTCAATTGGTGAATTTCGTTATAAATTTGTGTAGTTTTATTTTGCTTGAATAATTTCGGGTGAGTTTGTTCATTTCTATCAAAGTGTATGAATTGAGATTCAGTTTAGATTTGTTGTTAAGTAGCAATAATGATGGTTTCATTTCTGTTACATGTTAATTACA